AACGGACTCTCGGTGAGCCGTCGTGAGAGGAGGTCCTTGGCAGCCGAACATTCGTCTTAAGGTTTAGGGGTCATAGGCGGAGGGTTCAGGGCTTCGGGTTTTGGGGTTGGGTGTTGAGGGTTTGGGGCTTTGGGTTTTGGTCTTCACTGGGATTTGCTACGGTTTCACAGGCTCTTGCCGAGTGTTGTGAGGGCTCGATGACGGACGCGAGCTTGATCGGGCTTTGTACGGGTTTGGGGCGCAAGGCTTCAGAGCATTCGAAACCCCAAAACCCTAACCCATAAGCCCTAAACCGAAACCCTAAAACCCTAAAACCCTAAACCCTAAACCTGTGGGCTTGGGACCGATTGTGCCTCTTTTAGATTCGGACCTGCTTCTGCTGCATTTTCTTTGAGTGGCAATGTTTGGGTTTCAGAGATATGGGAATAATGTAGGGGCCAGAATAGTCGGAATAGGATGTTGGGGGCAGTACAGGCTAATGGGTCCCAACCTGCAGAGAGCTACAAGCTGGGGGTTTGTTGATAGTATACTGCTTACTACATACCCAAACACTGAGAAATAATGTTGGTAATTATCTAGGCCCAGAGACTCCAATACCCCTTAATTAAGGAATAAACCGTAAATCATGTTAGGGATCCTACTATAGTTTAAGGTATATTCCTTAATTAAGGGGTATTGGAGTCCCTGGGGGCTTCCATATTACAACGGTCTTTAAGAGATTCGGACCGGGGCTCCCTTCAGGGTTTGGGGCTTAGGGTTCATGGTTTAGGTTTGGGATCTGGGGTTTAGGGTTTAGGGTTTAGGGTTTAGGGTTTAGGGTTTAGGGTTTAGGGTTTAAGGTTTGCCGTGGAATAGCATATGGGTGACAGTATCGTGCCACGAGGCTGTGCAGAGTGCACCGTACTATGGCGTCTCTCCCACCCCACACCACACCGTATAAGGCGGCCAAACCACCCAAACCTATTCAATTCCTTCTAGGGTTTAAGCCTCAACGCACGTTCTGTCTGTTCTTCTCTCACAGGCCGCCAGACGAGGCGCACTGGCCGGCCAATTTTGTGAGGTGTGGAACTGCCAGCCAGCCACTGAGTTTGGGGTAATGACTTTATTAAGGGACCAGTCCTGGTACGTGTGTTCTACGATTTATGCCAGATTGCGGAGTGAATTCGGCTGTAAGTCAGCTTTTCTGCAACACAATAAGTTTGCCATTCCATTTTCTCCGCATCGTGGACCACACTGATCCAAGTATCCCCAAACCCTGAGCCTAAACCCCAAACCCCAAACCCCTAAACCTTAAACCGTAAACTCTAAACCCCCAAACCCTAACCCTGAACCCCCCTAAACCCTCAACCCTAAAATCATACTCCCAAAGCTGAAGAGGTCAATAGCCTGGTCTGGGGCCAGCACGTCGTCTGCCGGCGCTCGACACCCTGGGCGATTCTAGCAAGAAGTCCAGAGCTGGGATAGGGCTCAGGGGTGAAGGTTTAGGGTTTAGGGTTTAGGGCACTAAGTCCGACGCGAAATCCTGACCTCGAAGAGACCTTCAATGGCTGAACCCAAAAACCCTAAGAGCAGCAAAACTCTGAAAAGAAAAACGATAACCCTGAATCCTAAAACAGAAAAACTCTCAAAAAAAAAAGCTGAAATCCCAAAACCCTAGACCCTAAACCACCTAAA